CATTATTGTCGTGGGATTTATTAGGCAGATATCTAGGGATTTGAAAAGCAGTTTTGATGAACGTGCAGTGGTAGTATGGCGTTAGTTTCTAGAAGCAGAAGTGAACATCAGGATTTAATCCCGGATGACATCTTATGGAGTATCATGAATTCCTCTTTGTGGGTGGTCATTTTGAATAAACATATAGTCTAAACATTCAGTCTGTGTATATGTATGTGCCATTTGAGGTTACCTTGTAAGTCATTTACCTTCATGCTTTTTCTGAAGGAAACGAACTGTCATGGCTACGGTTAACATGACTTACTTCTATGTGAACTATTTTTATTCAAAGTCATCAGTTTTGTTGTAGAGTTACAAAGATAATTTTGTAATAAGACTGTTCACTCTATGTTTGAGGCATGTGTGTGCATATAAGGATTTATTGTCAACTTTATGATCTACAATTTTATTGAGAATAGAAATGATAAAGCCTAGTCGCATATACCCGTTAATTTTGGTTATTAGATAAACTTAAACCTTCGTCGTATATGAAAAAATTATTGAATCAATTTGAAACAAATGGTTTTTCATGACATATCAACCTAATGATACATATAGTAACGGTGTTGAATGTTGAGTACGTTTGATATATTTCAACAAAGGTTAATTAGAAGCCATTTATCAGAGCCAGAATCTTTTGGTGATTTCTGTGCAACATGTAGTTTATTGAAATGATATATTGCAACACATCGGCAAAATCATCTCCGTAAGCAGCAAATATTTTCTAGCCTCTCCAAGTTTAAACATCTTCAAGTTAGTAAAATTCTGTTGATAAGCTAAACCATCTCACTTCATGCTCTTAACTTGAAAACGAAACGTTTAAAAATACTGCTTAGACTGTTCATGTCATCAATACATTCTCAAATATTTTTTTAGCTGGAGCAATCTCACTTCTTTTTTGTATTTACTCCTCGTTAGTTTCTTATTCGAAAAAGGTTTCTTACTTTAAGAGAGAAGAAATTTGCGTTACTTCTTTTTCTTCGTTCTTCCGATTTTCTTCTTGAAATACGCAGTGTGTGTGTTTTGGTAGGTAGGTGGTTCTGTGATTAATAAAGATATGGGTCATTATGCGGTGGTAGTCGAAAACGTATTCCCACTTATTTTATCTAATAGTTTTACTGATTTGAGTAGAATCTCTCAATCTTCATTCACGAAAGCATCTGACCCAAAGGCTTTTGAGATTCGAAGCTGTATGTTTTGATCAAAATGAAATGAAGTTTTTCGATTGTCTTTTCTTGCAATATAGTTTGTTGTTTAGTTGTCACAGTGATCACGTTGGTTTTCCTGCCTGCACAAAATCTATGTTGATAGGTATTGTGTCACCGTGTTTATTATTGTTAATGCTATTACTGTGACAATATTTTCTTTATTTGGGAAATAAGTTGTATTGGAATCTCCAGTACGCTTTTCGAAATGTTGACTACTATACGCAATTCAAAATGTAGGTCTTCTGCCGATTGATATCCACTTTTATACACTATTGGACAGTTTCATTTAAAATCTACGACACTGAAGATTCGCTTATTTAAAAAATGTAGACTGCCACACAAGAGATTATCAATCGAAGATATTCACACTCTAAGGTGGACGTAACCTTAGGTGTGTCTGACTTCAGTGGGACTAATCTACTCCATGGAAGTCATCTTTTTGACTTGGAGTATGCAAACTACATTATCCTGTTAAGTCAAGACGCTGATAAATTGCAGTCTTGTGAACGCATTGAACAGAAACCTGAGTATATTTTGCATGCGTCTTGCGCAGGTCAAGTGTAAGATGACGCTCCAGGACTGGTCTTCTGCCAGTACTTCCAGTTTAATAATAGAATGAAGTGGTGAGATGTGTTGACCACTTTACTTACTTGGGGATTTGCATCAGCACAAACGTGCTGGTTGCTAAAGAAATTTCAGGTTGGATACTCAAGGCCTTTTTGACATTTGACAACTTGCGCCATCTTTGGAACGGACTAGCGAATGTCTATTAAAAGACGAGTACGCTTCAATGCAGTTCTCTCTTTCCTGTTGTAGGGATGTCAAATATAGCCGTTGAAAGTAGAAGACATGAAGTGATTTCAGGGTTTTGATCATAGGTGTCTTTGTAGCATTGTTCGCGTTTAGTGGAATCACTATGTGAGCAATATTGAAGTCAGACGAAGGGTACTGGGCAAGATAGGCAAGTCGATTGATGAGAGTCCAAACTTTCCTCTGTTGAAATGGCTTAGACATGTGCTGCACATGCCTAGTCTTCGCTTACGTCGACTTGCCATCCTAGAGGAAGTTGGATTGGGTTGAGAGAGGGTTCACGGTGGCCAGACGAAGATATGGCACCAATGCATGAAGTCCCAGACTATTGAACTGAGCGGTATTGGGAGATGCAGACTGTTTGGTTGAGGTCCGCGACATTAAACGAATCAGTGATTGAGGATTCTTGGTGACATGGTTAAAAATCGGTCACAGTGGTGCATATGTGTTCACTCCTTGACATCTTTTTGAGCTTGAATATCGGCACTAATCTTTATCTTCAAATTGCTTATTCTCTCACACTACTTTATCTTCTTTGATGCCTTCGTTTTCTAGCCACTTGTTGTTTGCATACCAAAGTGAAGTGTTGCTAGTTGAACTGATACACTTGTATGCGAGGTTCTACCTTGACTTTATCTGCCTCTCTGTGGTTCATCATGAAAATGGGACTTCCTGACTTTTCCCACTAACTGTAACAAAACGATAAGCAGTTTTAACTATGAACTGTTCGTATGATTTGTACTTTCGTATATTGCGCGGTATTATGAAGTTGTAGTTTCCAATATACTTAGGTGACCTTATTTTGTGAATGATTATCCTGTTCAAGGGCTTAAATCAGGACAAAAAATGTCTGAATCCCCATTACTTCTTCCCTTGTCTGCCTTACCCTAAATATTATTTGATGTGTTTAGATTGACGCCAGAGAAAAAATGTATTGACGAACGTACACTCATTATTAGTTTTATGTCGTAAAATTTGGCCGATTCATATATTTGTCGATTGTGATTTCATATTGAGATTAGTTAGTAGTTTGTCACTATATTTACCAACAGTTTTTTTTTTACTAAGGGAGGAGGTTTATCTTGGTTTTTAGATTTTAATTATCGTATTGTTTCTATTTTGAAGTTTGTGACCGTTAGATTAAGAATCCGAATGCCACGTATCACTTATCAGTTAGATACCTCTTCCAGGATAAGCTATATCTACCTGTAGGTATTTAATGTATTTTAGGGGAATGCAATGCATCAATTACAATCGCATAATAAATAAGGCTTTCATTAAGTTTTCTAAGGCTGATCAAACTCTGAAATAACAAATTGGGAAGTGTAACAGCCGTCATTCATAGTGGTGTTCTCCAGGACTTGATTGATTTGATGTTACTTTCAGTAAGTGAATGCTATCATCTTAGAAATCATTTGATTGTGGTAATGTTAGATGGTTTTCGGATTAATTTTAAAATTCTAGGGGGTATCTGAACATATTCTTGTATCGAACTAAAAATAAGTATATAACTTCCTTGTTTAGATATTCGACTTTCACACATTGATTGCAGAGTTCAAACTGTGCTCTGACAACGTTTTCCTGCGAAACTTATATAATATTCCTTTGCACCTTAAGTGCTATTAATGGCCTACGTACATAAATCAATTGTGGGTCACTGATTTGCATTTAAAATAGCTGAGTGGTAAAACTTCACACTTATTAATTTATGGTGTTGGCTGACAGTATTTTGTCTCTCATCCCTAAATGAAATATTTTCTCATGATATTATTGTATAATTACTACACATATGAGTCTCCAGTGTGTATGTTGACTTCGTCGTAAAGTGCATGACTGATAACTGGTTAACATTTTAAAAAAATAGTAACAATTTACTGTACTACTATTTTGCATATTTCAGTTTAATATCTATGATAGAATATGTAAAGTGATGACTGACGATAATACCAAAGCTGTTAAACGATCAAACAATCATGCACATGCTTGCTACAAACTTTCCTCTAGTCGACTGTTGTATGAATTTCGGTTGTACTTTATTTTTTGTTGCTTCACTAGTAGTTTGGTAGTGTTGTGTTGGTTTGTCACATAGAGAATCAAGGAAGCTTGTATAATTTATTGCATTACGGTACACTACGAATTTTATCAATAGGCTGAGTAACTACTTCATTAAATCATTCATGTGTTATATTTCCTGTTTAACCTGTTTACTGCCAGTATACTGTTCCATAATACCTTTCTCATTTCACAATGTCTGTAAACATGCTCACCAATAGACCAAAGCTTTATATTCCCTAAACGTATTCATCCGCTGATAGAATCTAGTTCCAGTAATATTGTCTGCTTTAAGTGACATTATACTGCCCCTGGTCTCAACCGAGTATTTTGTACAATTGTTTCAGAATATTTTGTTCACTTGTTTAGGAAATTAATTCATTACAAAAGTGAATGTTGTCTCATCATCTTGTGACTCAATAGTAGGCTTATCTGTAATATTTAGGAGTCTTCTACCACTCTGATTTCAGAATATATATATATATATATATATATATATATATATATATATATATATATATATATATGGGCAGTCAATTTTTTATTCTTTGCATAGTACTAATTTCAATAAGTTCCATTTATTTTCGGCGTTTATGCTGAAAGAAGTCAAGGCAATACATTACCGTACAAAATTATAAATCAGTACTTTTGAAAGCTATCACAGAGCATCGGCTATCATTCCGTAATCCAGTTGCTGATACGATTTACTTGTCGATAATCATACTCTTGAATAACACGAAGTAGCATCTCTAAGTTCTGTACTGGATGGTGAGGTTTGAACCATACCTTGAGTATATTTTTTCAAATCTTTCGTTCAGATTTCCTACCTAATTTATGATCACTAGTCATTCAAAGTTTTCTGTATCTTACTATTTTTTCTACTCATTGCAGATAAATATATTCCCTTCTAATTTGGCTGCATACTTGATGTTATCAGTCTACATATCATGTATAGTTACTCTTATTCTTTGGGATACAAATGATCATCGAATAGCTGGTCTGCTTCATTGTCCGTCTACTGACTACCACGCTGCAACAATGAAGTACACAACTAATAATAGAAACAGTGACTTCTCTTTACCATTCTATAAATCAAATAAACCCATGTCATATTCGGCAAATAAACCTGAACCTGGTCAGTCAGCTGTTCCAGATATCTACTGCCATCTGTTTGTTAGGTTGATTGTGTAAGTTTTTATTTCCTAGTATTATTTTTAGTTGATCACCTTTTTTAATAAATACGTGTACGCTTAAACTGTAATACAAATAAATGACTGGAATTATGTGAAAACTGCCATAATAGTGCATTGATTCAATTTTCTACGTCAAAGCAGAAAACGAGGTATCCAGAAAATGAAGTAGGTTAACTAAATAAATACCTATCTATGATATAATCAGTAATTCAAACTGGTGGTTTTCGGAGATTTACTGATGTCAAAGTATTCTTCATCACGGATTGAAATCGTTTAAAGAACCATGGAAAAAAAACGAAGAGTACTAGACAACTGTTTCATTTGTTTTTCAACCACGGCAAAGAGTTAATTCTTTATACTGCTTCAATGGATTTTCAATTATTTTATCTACAAGTTTCTAGTGTTAGTTGAGAAACTTATGGTAGAGCTTATGATTCCCATTCTATGACTTCAGATTTCAGTATTATTGCTTGGTCGAGACGCCTTCAAATTTTGTTCCAACCACCCATTGCTCTAAGCAGTGTTTCTTATCAAGACGTGTTCTAATTGGCTCTGTGGTTCTTCGTTGACGCTAACTCGCAAGCTCTTTATCATGCACATTCATGTACTTCTCTGCATGTAACTTGAAAATTCAGCACTCGTTTTTTTCTTTGCAAATCCTCTGGTTCCTAAACATGTTTAGTGAAGAATAGGGTTCTTAGGCGTTGTCACTGGTCTTTTGTTTGATAAGTTTTTATGTTTCCCACGGAATTGTTAATCAACAATTTGCAAATAAATCTCCTATTCATCACTTCTTCAATATAAGACTTCATCCCCTACATCTTCATCTTGCCAAGAATGTTCCATCACTTTCTTACTGGCTTGTGCAATTAATGATGGCTTTTCAAAACCTCGACCATTGTATGCGTCCACAATGGATAACCAATCCAGTATATCTTTATCAAATTGATGCCAAGGGAAATATTTAACCATCACACCAAAGCAATGCTAATATGCGTATTATGCAGTCTAAACGGAAGGGTAATAAATTACTTTTCAAATATGTGAATTATTGTTGAATTCCTTTGTACACATTCCTTTTGTGAATAAATATATATATTCATTAACACACATGAAAAAGAAAAATTGAAATCCACTTGTGCGGTAAGCAAACGGCCGAACTCACTGTTCGAAAGCTAGTGAGACCTACTACCTGACCGCCCAAATCTAGGTAGGTGGAGCGGTGTTCGAACCCGTGACCCATTGGCTGAAAGTCAACTCCCCAAACCAATGAGCCACAACTCTACTCAACATACATGAACCCCACTTTTGTTTTATCAATATCATTCTCACCAACTAATTGTCTGAGATCATAGGTTTTCGTTCAAATTATACGAAATATCGTTTCGGCATCAATATTTAATTGAAAAAAACTAAAAACACTTCTTTGCATCCTTGGAACATTCTCGTATTCTTTACTGTTGTTTGTGAACTGGAGATCGAAGCCGTCATGTTTTTAGCGGTAAGTTGAAGAATAATAGTTTAATAATTATGTTTTACTACTTCACTACTTTCAGTAAGCAACCAGCATAATCCTTATAATATCCACCTTGTAATGTGCCTAGCATGATTTTTTCATAGTTAGGCGTTTCCTACTTTTATTTTGGATGTGTGTACGCCATCTTTTAATCACTGAGTCACCGTATAATACGATGAGCTTATAATATAGCTTGTTGATAGGAATACCTTGCTGACTAGGTAATTGTGAAAATATTATTTTACCTATTCCCTCGTGTTGTTGTTTTTACACCACTAGGTTATGCTGTGGATTAGTGTGTTCTTTTGGTTTACCCATTTATCTCACGTACCCTATGCGGGTTCCAATAGAAACTGTTTGCCAGTTGTATTCGTTAGTTTCACTGCAAATATTCTGTATTGCACAAATTTCTGTTGGATATCCACAACGATGGCTTTGTGACAAAGTAGGTGGATTTACATTATTTCTATTGTCTAGTCAGGATTCCAAAAACTCACCGTTAAGGGAATGTATTGGCCAATATTGTTTTGATAATTATCACTTTACTTATTGTGTTTCATGTGTTCCTTTTCAGTAGGGCTACTTTAATTTAATAACTACTCTGTCTAACTATACAGCTTTGTGGTTGTTATAACTGCCTGATTGCCATTTTCTTAAGCGCATGATACTGCCGATTCAGTCTTAACGCTGACATGGCAGGTGATTGGTCTCGAATATATTTGCCCAGTCTCGTACGCTCTGTTGTGAAGCTGTCGCTCATTGGTTTGGGTAGTTGACTTTTAGCCACTGGGTCACGGGTTTGATCACCGCTCCATCTACCGAGGTTTGAGCATTCAGGTAGTATCATTAGCCCCGACACAGTTGCTGCCCATTGTCTACTGCATGAATGTGCACAAGGTTGATGAGCGGGTTTAAAAAAATTCAATATACTCAATCCACCAACATGATAAGTCATGCAACTCAACCTTCCCAACCGCTTACACCAGAACGTGAAGTCTGGTGCTTATTGTCCTGATTCTTTAAGCGATCTGAGTCGTCAGTATGCACAACTAAACTATCTGACCAAAACGCACCTTAATTTTTAAAGCGAAACAATCGATTTCGAGCGCAAAAAGTGAGATGATGTGCAGTAGTGGACTTCACTCATCATCCAAGTATTTACGTAATGTAAGTCATTCTGAAATGGATGAGGGACCTCTTAAAAAGATCTGTACAATAATGTTGCCATTTAAGTCATAAGTGAAATGACTTGTAAAATAGATAAGGTAATACAATCATTGACACTTATCTGAGATTCATGTTTTCCACTTTTCGGTTGACATTACAGCGAGACTCTTCTTTTTAAAGTAATGACGGCAAAAGTCAGCGTTTGCTAATAGTGTTTATGTTTGCACGCTTTCTGTTACGGGTAAATATTACGCTGATGTTGGTTAGTAGTTTTTGTTACATGGATAAATAAATAAACACTTACTAGGGCTATTTCATCCAACATACTAATATGCGTAGGTAGTGCTTTCAGAAACTTTGGTTTCAAATTCCAATCTCTTTCTAACCACACAAACTACTGTTTTTATTACCCAGTCGCTCTAGATTTATTATATGTGTATGTAGTTAAATTAGCACTTTGTCACTGGACTAAAAAGAACAGCGGTTGGCAGTTAACAGAATATAGTGCTACACTTCTGTAACCCTCTTTCAACTAAAAAGTGGAAATTGAAAAACCCAAGGACACTTTTTCTTACTGACCTTATGTGGAAAAATTAAGCATTAGACTGCATACGAACCTCGCCTGGTTAACTAGTTTACTAGTTACTAGCCGGTCCTAAGCCCGGGTAAAGAGGGAAGGTTGGGCATAGGGCTAGCAACCCTACCCCGTAAAACAAATCTAACCGCTAAAGAAACTTCAAAGCACAAACAAAATATAAAAAATGAAAACAAACTTATTCCCCGCTGGAATCGGAGAGGCGAAATGACGCCAGTTGGTGAAAGCCTTCGGGAAGCCAATTGGCCGATGTGTCTTCTCTCGATGAAAGCGAAAGTAAACGTGGGGACATGGAATGTCCGCACGATGTTTGAACCCAGTAAGGCAGCCCAGATTGCAAGGGAGATGAGAAGGTATAACATCGAAGTGCTTGGGATTTGCGAAAGCAGATGGAATGGGAGTGGACTCTCCAAACTGTCAACTGGAGAATCAATAATCTACTCCGGTCACCCAGACGCCAACCACGAGCACACTGAGGGAGTGGCTATCATGATGTCCTCAAGAGCATCGAAGGCTCTCATGCAGTGGGAACCAATCTCCTCCAGGATCATGACAGCAAGATTCAACTCAAAAGGAAGAAAGGTCACAATCATACAATGTTATGCACCTACAAATAATGCAGAGCAAGAGAAAAAGGAGGATTTCTACAGACAACTTCAATCAACACTGGACAAGACGTCAGTTGGCGATATCAAAATTCTGATGGGCGACATGAATGCCAAACTGGGAGGGGACAACACGGGAAGAGAACTAACCATGGGTCGAGAGGCACTAGGTGAAATGAATGAGAATGGAGAATTGTTTGCAGAATTCTGCGCATTCAACGATTTGGTGATTGGAGGCAGTGTGTTCAGGCACAAAGATATCCACAAAGCGACATGGATTTCACCAGATGGACACACTAAAAATCAAATCGACTTTATCTCAATCTCAAGAAAATGGAGACGCAGTCTACTTAACACGAGGTCAAGAAGAGGAGCAGATGTAGGTTCAGACCACTACCTAGTGCAAGGAACCTTCCAAATCAAGTTAAAAGCCTTCAAGGAAGCTGGTGATAGACCTCAATTCAAGTACAACACTCGGAAACTGAAGGATGAAACTACAAAGGAGATCTTCAAGGCAGCCATCAAGACAAAATGGGAGACATCGAGGGACATCCCTGAAGAAACCTGTGTGGAAGAACATTGGAAGTCTTTGAAAGCTATGTGGAAAGAAACCTGCACAACAGTATTAGGAAGGAAGAAGGTGGAAGACAAGGAATGGATCTCGACGGATACCTGGAAGCTGATAGAGGAGAGGAGGATGGTGAAGCAGAAGATAAACCAGTGCAAGGATGCTCAACGACAAGAGGAACTGAGCACAATGTATAAAACACTGGACAAAGAAGTGAAGAAGAGTGCACGCAAAGACAAAAGACACTTCTACGAAACACTGGCAAGTGAAGCAGAACAGGCTGCAGGTAAGAGAGACCTGACGACATTGTATCAAATAACCAGGTTGCTATCAGGGAAGAGACCAACACAGATGAAACCAATAAAAGATGAAGAAGGAAATTTAATTACAAAAGAAGAGAAACAGAGGAAACGATGGGCCGACCACTTCAAGAAGCTCTTGAATCGACCACCACCTGCACTTCGTCCAGAAATACCACCTGCAGCCGCTGAACTACAAGTGAACATTAATCCCCCAACGAAAATGGAAGTCCTGAACGCCATAAAGCTACTGAAATGCGGGAAAGCAGCAGGACCAGATGGAATACCGCCAGAAGCACTGAGAACAGATGCAGAGACAACAGCGGCCATGCTCACACCACTATTGCAGAAGGTGTGGAAGGAAGAGAAGGTACCTGACGATTGGAAGAAGGGTTACCTTGTCAAACTGCCGAAGAAGGGAGACCTCAGTGCTTGCAAGAACTGGCGCGGAATCACTCTCCTGTCCACCCCAAGTAAAATATTAAGCCGCATCATCCTGGAGAGGCTAAGGGATGCACTGGATTCAAAACTACGACCGGAACAGGCAGGCTTCAGGAAGTACAAATCATGTGCAGACCAAATTGCAACGCTTCGCATCATCATAGAACAGAGCATAGAATGGCAATCACCTCTCCACCTCAACTTCATCGACTTTGAGAAGGCCTTTGACAGCGTCGACCGAGAGGTAATTTGGAAGCTGCTTCATTACTACGGAGTGCCGCAAACCTTTATCCGCCTCATTCAACAACTATATGAAGATGCCACATGCCAAGTAATCCACAATGGGAAGCTCAGTGATGCCTTTGAAGTGAAGACAGGAGTGAAACAAGGTTGCCTACTATCCCCCATGATATTCCTTATTGTGGTGGACTGGATCATGCAGCAAACAGTAGGCAGCGAGAAGAGGGGGATACACTGGACGACGGAAAAGAACCTAGAAGACTTGGATTTCGCCGATGACTTATGCCTAATGTCACATAAACTTGAAGATCTGCAGGCAAAAACTAACAAGTTGATAGAAGAGGCAGCGAAGACGGGACTTCAGGTGAATATAGAGAAGACAGAAGTGATGAAGATACCGCACCACCACCATCAACAACAACAAACTCCAATCACTGTCAACGGGAGAAACTTAAAGGAAGTAACCTCCTTCACTTATCTAGGAAGCACTGTTTCAACTACAGGCGGGACGGACGAGGACGTCAAAGTCAGAATCGGAAAAGCAAGACAGGCATTCATTAGCCTGAAACCAGTGTGGAGATCTTCTGCACTCAGCATGCGGAACAAGATACGGATTTTCAACACCAACGTCAAGTCAGTGCTCTTGTATGGCTCAGAGACTTGGCGCGTCACGAAAGGTATTTCCAATAAACTACAGACATTCATCAACAACTGCTTACGCTCGCTGCTGAAGATCAGATGGCCAGAAAAAATAAGCAACAAGGAACTCTGGGAACGAACCAACCAAGAACCTATCACGCAACAAATATGCAGGAAGAAGTGGAGATGGATTGGCCATGCACTGAGAAGGCCGACTGAGGACATCACGCGTCAGGCCCTCGAGTGGAATCCCCATGGGAAGCGACGAGTTGGACGTCCAAGGGTGACATGGAGGAGGTCGTGCGAGCAGGAAATGAGAGCTTCTGGGCTGTCGTGGGACCAGGTTCAAAAGATCTCAGAGAACAGAGGTCACTGGAGGCGTGCTACTGAAGCCCTATGTTCCACTAGGAACCCAAGGGACTAATAATAATAATAAGACTGCATACGATCATTTTCAAGCAATGGAGCTGTTTTTAGACGATCTATAACACCTAATGAGACTCGATCATTGTTGAAAACTTGTAGTTCGCTTGACAGATCACCAAACTAGTGACATTAATATAAGTGAAAAACTTGGGCACTGTGGTAGAATGTAGTTCCATATTAGATTTGTTTATTTGATATAAAGCGCACAGTGATACAGTATTATTTACTTGATTACGTTTCGAGCATAAATTATTGCTCATAATCATATCAATGTAATCACACTTCTTTCGACATCTGATTTTATAGTCCTGTCACCTGATCTCTCTTTGTTTTTTTGTTTTTTGATTGGTAGTAAAGTTTTCCATATCTCTGGTATAGGTGTTGCGTCATTCCTATTACATGTGTTGGGTGTGAATTCGATGAACAAAGATTCAGTAATTAATCTCTCTCTCCACCTAGCTATATTAGACTTAAGTACAGTGGTTTTGTCCCATCCTATTGTGTGGTTGTGTGTTAATGAATGTAATGCAATGGCTGAGTGTTTTTCTAGGTTATTGATCTTATTGGGGTCTGTCGTTCTATGTTTAGCTAAATTCCTATGTTCTGTTAATCTAACTGACCCCGACCGGCTACATAGGTCAAACTAGCCGGTCGGGGTCAGTTAGATTAACAGAACATAGGAATTTAGCTAAACATAGAACGACAGACCCCAATAAGATCAATAACTAGAAAAACACTCAGCCATTGCATTACATTCATTAACACACAACCACACAATAGGATGGGACAAAACCACTGTACTTAAGTCTAATATAGCTAGGTGGAGAGAGAGATTAATTACTGAATCTTTGTTCATCGAATTCACACCCAACACATGTAATAGGAATGACGCAACACCTATACCAGAGATATGGAAAACTTTACTACCAATCAAAAAACAAAAAAACAAAGAGAGATCAGGTGACAGGACTATAAAATCAGATGTCGAAAGAAGTGTGATTACATTGATATGATTATGAGCAATAATTTATGCTCGAAACGTAATCAAGTAAATAATACTGTATCACTGTGCGCTTTATATCAAATAAACAAATCTAATATGAAACTAGTGACATGTTTTACTTCTGGTCATTATCCTCAGTTAGTAAATGAGCTTTCCTTCCCTGTTTATGCTAAGTATTGGTCGCAACAACAGACTCATGAAAATTTTGTTGAGGATGACACTTTGTCAGAGCTGTATTTTACTGAAAGACCATGAAACACTCAGTGGAACACGCGGTCATTCCTAGTAGTTATTTACCTGACTTTCATTCTTGATGAATGATCTACTTGTTTTAATATTCCTTTCTTTTAAGAATTTGTCCATAGGTTTAGCTACTAATTACAGAGTTTTACTATTTGTCCTACTCCATTAAAGTAATTCATAGTTACTTTTCATTTCAGATTCAGTGTCGATCTGTTCGACTTTTCAACAATGGTTCCAACGGAGTTTTATACCTAATCTTAGTGTGTTTAGTTAATTTTTGTGTCATTTTGGCAGTTATCCTTCGTCTTCAGTTTTGCCCAAGTTTTACAACAGATATAGAGGTAATCGACGTAACAAAGAATTTTTATGCAAATATTTGATCCGTGTTTAACTATGTTTGAAAATGATGCATTAAGGAGAAATGAACTGATTCTCTCAACACTAATTTCCC